GGGTTGGTACTGGCTTGCTTTATATCCAATATAAAGGACATAAATATTCTGTTTTCTTTTTCATGTTATTTCCTTCGACACAGATTTTAACTCATCATCTGAATCCATCGGAATTCGAACTCCTTACGGTCGGGGGGGGGGGGAGTTCAGGGGTCTGATGGGTGTACCAACTGAGCTAGGCCAGCTGGCTGATGCTCCTTTTCCTAGTTGCTGGAGAATGCACGCAAGAACGCAGATTGTGCTTCAGGTGCTGTTGGCCCTAACTGAGGACAAAGATCCTTCTTTGTTTTTTTTGTTTTTTTTTTGTCTTTTTTTTTTTGTTGGAGGGGGAAACGAAGCTATGACTTCGTTCATGGGATGCATCGTATTTTGCCACTTGCAGAGTCCTGTGTTTTTGAAACCACCAGTACTTCCAAGCCCACTGTTTCCCCGGGCTGGAAACATCGTCCTGGGTGCCGAAGAAAAACAAATCGGCCCACGCCTCCTCCCACTCCTCCTTTCGGCTGGTGCCGCCGGCCATTTTGGCTCCGACAGCTGACCCCCGAAAGTTGCAGCGTGCGTGCATGCAGCCGCACCCGAGAAAAATGGTCGGGAAACATAGTGGTGGTTCAAACCACTCGTTCTCCCGAGCCTCCTTTTCCCGAGGATTGAAATGCCGTGCACGGCAAAAAGAGTCGAGAAGTGGATTGGTGCGGGCCTCCTCGTGACTGGCAGCTGACCCCCAGAAATTGGGGCGTGCATGCAGCCGTGTCGGAGAAAAATGGCCGGGAAACGTACTGGTGATTTAAACCGCAAGTGCACGGCCCCAGCCTTGCAGAAGGTTTTTGTTGCCACAAGGAAAACTCGGACGGGCTGCACGGCACGGGGCGGCGCCGTTGAGAAAATAGAACTGGCAGCCTCCGAAGTGGTGCGGTTTTCATGCTGACACCCGCGGGCCGATGTATGGTGTACTGGTGGTTTAATGAAACAGTCGCTACTCTCCCCCCCCCCCCCCCCCCCCTGTGTCGAGTAAATCAGTTGTTTTGCTAGAGGCATGTGCCAAGCGTCTAGAGTCTTATCTATCCATTTCGAAAAGAAAAAAAGAAAAAAAAGAGTTTTTATCCTCCGAAGTGTACCACCTTCTAAATCATTGTGAAACAAACGGTCCATATTGGGAATGAATGAGAACAAAGATACACGTCCAAATTCATCTGAAATGAAAATGAATTGAAAAAGAAGTTTTGGCCACAAGTCCAGCGACTCGGCGGATATCTTTGGATTGGTGCACTTTGTGCCTGGAGGCTTGTGAGAGTCACTCGAATGCAAAATATATGCCAATCATCAAAGGTGGAAGAGAAAAGCACTTGGCTGAAATGAAGGGCCTGACTCCACTGCTGACCACATGCTAAAAAAAAGACACAAAATATGGCAGTGTATCTTTCCGTGTTCTTGTGGAAGATTCATTGTCATTTTGCACATTTGGTAAGTAGTGGAGCGAGGCCTGGAGTTTTATCATGAGTGAGTGATATTTAAAAGATTCTTGAATTGAATTGTTGCAATTGTTGGCTAGTCAAACCACAACAATGAAACAAAATACTAAAATAGTACATGAAAATCCAAATCCTTTTTCTTTTTTTTTGAACTACACTATGTTCTTCTCTCAAATTCTTTTTTGCCTTTCACTACCTTCCTACCACTACTCCTAAGACTATATATATGTATAGAGGGGACCCCTGCAAGCATAGGGGGCCTCGCAAACGAGGTACATTATGTTGCCCCGGCCCCAACAGCGGAAGTCAGAGATGGGGTGGGGCCGCCGGTGGGGGTCCGACTAACGCAAAGACCGAACATTTTCCCAGTAGCTGCGCCTCCCTTTCTTATCATCTCCCGGCCCTCATCGAGTAGCAGCAGAGGCTATGGCCAACACTCTCCCACACACCACACACAACCCACTCGCGCTGGCACTCACACCCGTGTTAGTCATAGACCCCGCTAATACCGATCAGGGGTATCCAGAGGACTATCACAGTCCGTTGGCACTAAGTGCGCCGCAGGCGGTCTTGGGGCTTGAACCCACAACCTCCTGAATGCCCCTTGCATGCCTAACGGACTGAGCTAGTGTGTTTCTTTCTGAATAGTTTCTTATCGTCATCACATTTTATGACGCCATCATCAGTTTTTATGATGACGCCAGACGCACGAAAACTGCACGGAATTGGACTGCGAAAGCAGGCACGTGGGATGGTGGGAGGAGGGGAAGATGGGATAGCGAAGCCATGGCGGCCTGTCAAAGAGGGTGGTCTGCCGTAGAAGGTGCCACTGGTAATCTGGACCATGCCATGCCGGGACAACCACCCAGTACTGGGCCCATACATTGGTCGCAGGCCCTTGATGTCAATGCGCCGCAAACCGGGCTTCGGGGCTACCGGACCACGATGACTGGCGTTGTCAGCCAGTAGAAAAAAGAAGATCGCGGGGGTGGTTCGACAAGCTTGGTGCACAGGGCATTTGGAGCCCCAGCCCCAGGGAACAACAATTACAAACTTCTTAATCTGTAACATCTGTCAAAGGGACGCTGGACCCGGTTTCCAGCAGGTGCTGCTCCCCACCAATAGATGGAGCAGCCCAACAGACAAGCCCTCAATTTTAGCGGTTCTCGTACCACCGCTGAGATAGAGGGATGTCACAAGGGCTTTCACAAAAAAAAAAAAAAGAAAAAAAAAGAAAGTGGTAGCCCCATTAGAAAGTGCTTGTGGTAGATGTTGATTGGCAATGAGGTAGGCCCAAGTCCTTTTCTGGTGGTGACTGATGGGTAGGTCACACTGGTGCTGGTTCATGCCATGAAGGCACGAACCTGGCTGCTACTACGGCGAGGTTCATGCCTTTGAAGCATGAACATGCCACCAGTGGCGCCTGCTATTTATGTGTAGGCCCCAATGTTTACGTCCAGATATTCATTTGCTAGGAAATATATGATGACAGTAACCTGGTTGCTGTTGCTGCCAGGTTCGTGCCTCTCAAGGGTGGGCCTCATTGTACTATGTTTAGGTATTTTTTATTTCTTAGCGGGTCTGACAGTTCGGATCAGATGGTAAAGTAAACTTGGGATGATTTGCGCTGGATCTCAACGCGTAGAGTCGTAGACGGATCCAACTTTGTGTCAACTGAATATAGCTGACATTATGGCCAGATTCATTCAAAACAGGGTTTGAAATGTTTTCTTTAGGTGTTTTTTTATATTTCTTAGCGGATCTGACAGTTACGATCAGATGGTAAAGTAAACTTCGGATAATTTGCTCTGGATCTCAACGCGTAGAGTCGTTGACAGATTCGACTTTGTGTCAACTGAATATAGCTGACCTTATGGCCAGATTCAGTCGAAACAGGGTTTGAAATGTTTTGTTCACGTCACGAAGTTGAGTTTTTTTTTTTCAGCGATTTGGACCAGATTTTGAACTTGCTGCGAATGATCATATTACAGGCAGGCGGACGCCGTACCTTTACCTTACATGCTCTCAATAAATTGTTTTTTTTGGATGTTCCTAGTCGCTTGTATGCCCAAATTCACATATGCTCATGGGAGGATGATCAAACCACAACACCCTTCCGTCGTCACATGCTGCGTCACGTGAGGTCTCACGGGACGAAAAATTGTACCGAAACTGTTTAGTAGTGTGTAGTGGTACTGCGTACTTAACTTGATTTCAAAATATTTTGTCCGCGTGACGAAATTGAGCTCAATGATTGGAGGATGATTTAATCACAACACCCTTTTGCAGCTCAATTGCGTCACGCGGACAAAATATGTTTTGAATTTCAAATTTAACTGAAGTCCGATATTACGTCCACGGATAAGTTGGGAAAAAAAGTCAGAGTGTGCTCTCAGTCAATGCCTAGTGACTGATCTTTTGTGGTAACCGAGCCGCCCTTTTTTTTTTTTTTTTTTGTTGAAATACCGCTTATGCAATACGAATGGGTAACCAAGGACTCTTGTGGGTAGATTCTCAAGAATCTCAACTGGGGAAAAAAAAAAAAAAAAAAAAAATATAAAGGGGCAAAAACACCTTTAAAAAGTGAAAAAAAAAAAAAAAAAATAAAGGGGCCAAAAAAAAAAAAAAAAAAAAAAAAAAAAGCCGAGTTATTCAATTTTTCCTTCCCCTCAACTCAAAATCACCTGCAGCAAGTGGATAGTTGACATCGACATGTGCTGGATCTTAGATCCTTTTTTTTTAATATTTTGTTTCTCTTTTTGTTTTTGCTTTTCTTTTTTTTCATGTGTAAGATTTTGCACCTGCAGCAAGTGGATTGTCGACATCGACATGTGCTGGATCTTAGATCCTTTTTTTTTTTTAATTTTGTTTCTCCTTTTTTTTTTGCTTTTCTTTTTTTTCATGTGTAAGATTTTGCACCGTTTCTTGACATGTCTCATCCTTGTGCAGGGGCCACGCTAATCGATATTCTATTATTCTCTGTATCGTACCAATTAATGGATGTGCTTGATCTTTTAAAGGTTAGATTTTTTCTTTTCTTTGAGAGGAATTTGAGAGGAGCTGCTTTCGGGTCTTTCTCTGTGTGTTTATCTACCCTTATGTTCGTGTCCCTTTTATCTGTGGCTCTTGCTGTTCACCTGCCCCTCTCTCTCTCTCTCTCTCTCTCTCTCTCTCTCTCTCTCTCTCTCTCTCTCTCTCTGAGGAGCTGCTTTCGGGTCTTTCTCTGTGTGTTTATCTACCCTTATGTTCGTGTCCCTTTTATCTGTGGCTCTTGCTGTTCACCTGNTCTCTCTCTGAGGAGCTGCTTTCGGGTCTTTCTCTGTGTGTTTATCTACCCTTATGTTCGTGTCCCTTTTATCTGTGGCTCTTGCTGTTCACCTGACCCTCTGTGTGTGTGTGTGTGTGTGTGTGTGTGTGTGTGTGTAATCTCCATCTGTCTGATGGTCTTGCTCATGCGTACTTGGTTGTTTGTTTTCTATCTTATGTGTCTTGTGATGGCTGCTTGATCTGACCGTTGTCATTCCTTTCCAGGAAGGAAAGTTAGTCTTCTGCTGATTGGTTTGCTGTGGTTGACGGAGGAAACTCAGTGTTCTGCGCATTGGCTCTTTCAAAGTTGGACGTTTGTTCGCCAACAGTCCCTTTGAATTGCGACGTCAGACAGGTGTCCCATTGAAAGGAAAAGCTGATGGGACGTCTTGTCGGGCTGAAAGGTGCCGGATGTCTTGCCAAAGGAGGAAAAGCAAGTTTACTATATTTGGGAAGTGGTGCAATGTGACGCGTCTGTATCCAATGTGGCTGTGGCGATATCTTGAGTCTCAGACTGGGGTGAGGGATCGGTACGGCCACGCTGTTCAGGTTTGGAGATCGGGATAGACGTCCCACAGGCGAAAGCGGTAGCTGTGGGCCTGTGGCCGATATGTCTGTCAGTGGAGGCTTCTACAGTTGGCAGATCAACGGCCAAGAATCTCTCTCATGGGTAGTGAATCGTGCTGGTCGTCAGTTTGTGGGGATATTGGCCGCGTGTATACTATTGCTCCGGTTGTCGGCATCGGCCGGGCGAGATGCACCGGGCACGACGTCCGAGAACACCATTACCGTGCTGGAAAACGAATTGAGACCCATTGCTGAAGCGGCGTTGACAGATCCAGGTGTGGCTGCTGTCAGCGACCTTTTCCCTGAGGAGGCTATGCCTCCTGGTGATCTTGCACAACCGGGGGTTACATACAACTGGTACTATGTTACGACAATTCGCCGAAACAGCTCGTTCACTTGCATGAGCTGCCAGCATCCCATTTATGCTGTTGTGTTGGGGAGTGGGAGTGTTGAAGGACAACATGGCGACGGCAAAATTGGGCAACGGGTTCGTACCAGGCTCTGGTACCGGGAAGATTTCCTAATACGTATCCAGCACGCTACATTGTCGGAAGGACGCCGCGGCAGGGTGGAGTCCAGGCCGCCGACTGGTTGCGGATGCCCATCATGGAGCTCTTCATGTTTCACGGATTCGCGGTATCAGGAGACCGGATCATGCAATCAAAGTCTGATTGGCCATGATCTTGTGCTTGATATTGCGGTATCTTTATCTGGCGACGGCTGGGCAGTAATCGCCAATTTAGCACCATCCAAGACGTACGCATTTGATCCTGATGGCGACGAGACAGAGTTCACGTTGGTTTATGACGAAGTCGACTCGGACTCTACGTTGTTAGCTCGATCTGTCTTTGCGAGAATCGGCACTCCTCCACTCTTCCCATCAACAGCGGCACCATCTTTACTCTCCAGATCAAGCTTGCGGCTATCGGAATCCAGACCATCGAGCTCGCCGAACCAGCCATCCAGCCGTCGTGGCCCACTACCTGCAGAGCCGTCCAGCTCCGTGGCCGGTGAGCATTTGCTTTCTAATTCATTTGCCCAGCACGCGCCCTCGGCTCTCCCCTTTCAACGCTCCTTGTGTATGATTGAAGTCCGCATGGCATTGACCTAACCTCCTCCTCCTCCTCCTCCTTCTTCTTCGTCTTCCTCTTCTGCTTCTGATTCTCATTCTTCTACTTCTCTCCCCTCCTCCTCCTTCGGCTTCTTCTTCCTCTTCAGCTTCTTCTTCTTCGTCTGCTTCTGCTTCTTCTAGTTCCTCCTCTTCTGCTTCTTCTTCTTCTTCTTCTTCTTCTCCTTCTTCTCCTTCTTCTCCTTCTCCTTCTTCTTCTTTTCCTTCTTCTTCTTCTTCTCCTTCTTCTTCTCCTCCTCCCCCTCCTCCTCCCCCTCCCCCTTCTTCTGCTTCCTCCTCTTCTCCTCCTCTTCTTCTTCCCCTCCTCCTCCCCCTCCCCCTTCTTCTGCTTCCTCCTCTTCTCCTCCTCTTCTTCTTCTTCTGCTTCCTCCTCTTCTCCTCCTCTTCTTCTGCTTCCTCCTCTTCTTCTTCTTCTTCTTCTTCTTCTTCTCCTCCTCCTCCTCCTTCTCCTCCTTCTCCTCCTCCCTCTCCCTCTCTCCCTGCTCCTCCTCCTCCTCCTTCTTCTTCTTCTTCTTCTTCCCCGTCGTCGTTGTCGTGGTGATCGTGGTCATCTTCCTCCTCCTCCTCCTTCAATGACAATCATCATGAACACTTTTACCAATGCTTCTTCTTCTTCTTCTTCTTCTTCTTTGTCATGGTTGTGGTCATTGTCGTCGTCTTTCTCTTCCTCCTCTTTGTCCTCCTCCAATGACAATCATCATGAACGCTTTTACCACCGTGTTGCACAGCCACTTGTACGGTTAAAAAGAAGGAAAACAGGGCCCTTTTGGTTGTTCCCCTTTTCCGAAGACCTCACCTCTTGCTTGGGGGACTTGAAAACCAGAAACAGTCTTGTCTCTGCATTAGCCAGCAGTGCACATATGCATCTATTACTGCTGCTTCATGCAGCTGCATGACACATCCAGGCTGAATCATCTATGGTCGGTTGGTTATTATTGGTTGTGCTGTAAAAAGAACACGCCGACTGAACTGTTTACTTGATTGCGGACTTGTACTCTTCTCCTTTGACTGACTTTCTGCAGCCCCGATATCGCCTGGAGTGAAACGGAGTCCCTCGACACCATGGTCGTCTACGGTCATCGCCATAATCTCAGTCACCTCGACGTGTATCCTTTTCGCTTTGTTAATGGGTGTGCTCGTCTTGCTGCAGAGAGTGGCAGTTGACAGGACCCAGTCTGGAATCAGACGACGACGCATTAACAGGTCATCATGTGGCGCTCACTCAAATAACAACGATCAGGACAGAAGCCCCGGTCCACCTGGTACGCGGTACGCGGAAGATGTCGAAAATGGACTTCCAGGAGGAGAGCTGCCCATGCTGCATTCCGATCAAGCAGCACGTGTTGATCGAACGGCGCGCATCGATCAACTTCCACACGCAAAGGATCTGACGCCTGCCACACACATGCCACTGACGAGCACAGGCAAAGTTCCTACGGCCAATGGCGTGGCGACGGCGCGGGGAAATACAGCCTCGTCACGATCTACCACCCCATCACGGAGAGCGGACCTGTTCATGGTGCGCTCTCTGACATTGCACGATCTCGAGGAGATCACGTACCATTTCAAGCACAAGATCGGCGAGGGAGGAAGTTCAGTTGTCTACAAAGGCAAACTGGAAGATGGGACTGAGGTGGCTGTTAAAGCGCTTAAGGTAACGGGACTGCAGGACTTCACAGTATGTTTTTCAGTAAAATAACTAACTAACTAAATAAGTAAATATATAAATAAATAAAGCGCCTAAGGTATCCTAGCAGGCTAGCATCTGCTTCCACCCTCACCTCTCTGCTGAGTTCATGGAACTTCGTTCTTGTTTTTTTTTTTTTTTTTTGTCATTAGAAAGTCTTGATCCTGTCCTTTGGGAAGTCCATTTAAAAGGATTGGAACGATAGAGAGAATATTTAATATTAGCATGGCCCAAAAAAAAAAAAAAAAAAAAAAAAGCATGCACCCTTTGCAAGGATGGCATGCATGAATTGAGAAATGGTCCAAATGAAAATTTTTCTAAATTTGAAAAAGGGATTGCCATTAGAGAAGGAGCGTCATGACATCTTTGTCTCGCCTAAACCACCAGTACCTACTTCACTGTTTTTTTTTTTGTTTTTTTTTTTAATAAATACTGCGAGGATCAGTGTCCTCGGTAGGCCTACGGGGCCCTGTCTGCAGCCTTACCCGCCCTAAGTGAAGGCGGAGGTGCCCGCCCTAAGTGAAGGCGGGCCTGGCTTTTTGCAAGAGGCCCTCGACTG